ATAAATATTAAATTAATATTTATTTTAATCCCTTTAATTAAATTCTTTATAATATTAATATAAACTTTATATTTATTAAGTTTTAAAAAATAATATAAATAATAAAAAAATTACTTATAAATAAATTTTAATAAAAGCTTATTAATTTATTAATAAGATTAAATATTATTATGCTTTTTTTTAATAAATATTTAATATTTTATATATTAAATAAATTATTATTTATATTAAAAAAATTATTTTTTAAATAATAATAAAGATTATTAATAATACTTATAATTTTTAAGATATTATATTTATATTACTTATTTTTAAAACTTATTTATATTTTATAAAAAATTTAGCTTTAACTTTTATAATATAAAAATAAATTAAAGTTATTAAAATAATTATAAAGTTTTTAAAAAAAATAAATATTAAATAATAAATAAATATAGTTTTTAATACTTATAATAAACTTAATATTATAAAAACTTTTAATTTATTATTATAAAGTAATATAAAAATATAATAAAAAAAAGATAAATAATAAGGCTTATATAAACTTTTTATTATTAATAATTATAACTTTATTTTAAATTTTTTAAATAACTTAATAATTTTTTAATTTATAATAATATAATTATATTATTATAATAAAATAAAAAATATTATAATTTAAACTTTATAATTAAATAATAATTTATAATATATTATATACTTTAAGCTAAATTCTTTAAATATATACTTAAATTCTTTAAAATTAAAATAATAAAAATAATTTTTAAAAATAAAAAATAAGCTAAAAACTTTTATTAAAACATTTTTAATATAAATATTTATTATTTAAGCATTTTTTAATTAAATATTTATTACTTAATATAAAAAAAATAATTATAAATTTATATTAAAGCTTTAATAAAATAATATAATTATTATATTTAAAAACTTATTTAAGAAATTTAATTATAAAAAAATATTAAACTTAATTAAATATAATATCTTTAAATTTATATTTTATAATAAAAAAATATATAATAATATATAACTTTTTAAATTTTAAATAATATATAAAATTAAAAGTAAAATTAAAAAGCTTTATAAAAAGTTATGCCTTATAATAATTAATTATAATAATTATAATAAAAAAGAAATTCTTATTTAATTCTTTATTATTTAATAATTAAGTTAATAACTTTTAATTATTTTAATATTATTTCTTTTTTAAAAAGAAATATATATTAAGCTTTAAAATATTATTTAAGTTTATTTATAATTAAAGTTAAAGCTTAAATATATAATATTTATAAAGTTATTATTAAAAATTTATAATAAATATTTTTTTAATATTATTATATATATTATTAAATCTTTATATAATATTATTAAATTTAATATATCTTAATAAATAATATATTATAAATATTATTATAAAAAATTAAGCATAATTATTTTTATTTATAATTTATATTTCTTTATTTTAAATAATAATATAAATAATTTTAATATTATAATTATATAAATAAATAATACTTTTTTTATTATTATTTTAATATTTTTAATAATAAAAAAAGAAAAGATTAAGAAAATAAATATTTAATATAAGCTAAAAATAATATTTATTTTTAAAATAGCACTTAACTTTAATAATATAAAAATTATTATTATAAAAAATAATATTATTAATATATATTAAAAAGGTTAAAATATAAAGATTACCCTTATTTAAATTACTTTTCTTAATTAAAAATAATAATATATTAAATAATAAACTTATAATGCTTACTTAACTTTTATTTATTAATTAAAAGCTATATTTAATTTATTTATAGCTATTTAAATTATTAATTTAAATAAAAAAAATTATATTAAGCTTAATAAAAAGCTTAAGTAATAAATTAATTATTTTAAATATAATATATAATATATATTACTTAACTTAATTATAGCTAAATTACTTATTTTTATTAATAATTCTTTTATTAATAATTAAAATCTTAGCTTTTAAATAAGCTTTATTATTACTTTTATTAATAAAACTTAAGGTAATAACTTTATAAAATTAAATATTTATAATAATATTATTTATTAATTTTTTATTAAATATAAAAAAGTTATTAAAAGCATTTTAGCTTTTAAAATTTATAATATAATTTATAAATTTAATATAAATATTATTTTAATAGCTACTTTATATTAAATTATTATTTATTTTAATATTAATATTATTCCTTTTATAATTTATATAAATTTATACTTTTTATATAAATGCTTAATTAAGCTTAATATAATTAAAGAAAAATGCTTTATAATTAACTTAATAATATTTTAATAATTATATAAAAAATATAAGATTTTTAAAATTTAATAAATTGTTAATAATTATAATTTAGTTAATATTTTTATAAAGAATATATTAAATAAAACTCTTAAGCAATTAATAATTATTAATAAGATTATAATTAAGATATAAGGATATATTAATTAAAAATAGTTATTTACTTAAGTAAGAAGAAAAAGTATATTAAGGCTTAATATATTGCTTATTATTAAGAAAAATATTTAAATAAAAGTTAATAAAAGTTAATAAGTTAAATTAATTATAAATAAAGCTATAAAGAAAAAATTATTAAAATAACTTAATTTTTACTTTTATTTAATAAAAGTATATAAAATTATTAAAATTTAAATCTTTCTTTTATTAATTAATTATAAATTACTTTAAGAAATAATATAATATAGCTTATATTTAAAATTACTTTCTTTTTAAGGATAAACTTTATAGCTAAAATTTTTATAATAATGCTTATATATTAAAGGTTTAAGTAATAAAGGTTATTATTATTTTATAAGTATTTAAGTTGCTAGCTTATATTTAATAAGCATTTTTAATTAAATTTTATAATTTAATATTTATATATTAATCTTATATATATTTTTATTTATTAACTTAATTAATATTAAATAATTTCTTAATAATTCTTTATATTTAACTTTCTTTTTTATTTAAATACCTTATTAATCCTTATAACTTATTTTATTTATTTTTCTTTTATAATTAATTAATCTTTATTTAATTATAAAGATTAAGTATAATTAAGCTTAAGCTAAATTAAATTAAGATATATTATAAGCTAAAAATTAAATAATAATATTATTAATTTAAAAGTTTAATTTAATCCTTATTTAACTTAAGCGTTATAAATAATAAAAATATAAATTTATAAAATGCATTATAAATAAAATATTTATATAATAAAAGTAATAATTTATACTTTATTAATTAATGCAATTAAGATAATTTATTATATATAATTATTAAAATAATTTTTATTTATTAATTATATATTTTAATAAAATAATTAATCTTTAACCCCTTAATAATAACTTAAGCCTTTTTTTATACTTATTTTTTATAAGTACTTAATATAATTAAATAAGCATATATTTTTAATTAATTTAATTAATTAATAAATTTAAATTTAGCGGCTTTAAGTTTAATTTAACTTTTTTTTCTTATATACTTTTTAAAAATATATATTAATTACTTAATTAAAGATTATTAATGTAATTATAAATATATTATAAAGGGATAGCAACATTAAGTATAATAAGCATTATAAGTATTATGGGTAATTAGCATTAAAGCATTGGTAGGCAAGGGTTATATGCGGCAATATATAACTACCCTTAAATAGTTTATAGCTAAAAGGAGGTTTTGCAGCTTATGGCCGCAACCCTCCTTCCTTTTATATAGCTAATTTAAATATAACCAGTTTGCTATTAACTAATGTATGTTAACCCAGCCAATAATAATTATAATAAAATTAAATATAATATAAAAACTTATAAAAAAAATAAAAAAAGAGTTTAATTAATTAAATTTTAATTATATTATAATAAATTTAATTTAATTAGCATTAATTAATATAAATATATATATATTTATAATTTATAATAAACTATAATTTAAAAGATAAAGTTAGCATTATTTAATATAAAATATAATTTTCTTATTAAAGTTAGCTTATTTAAATTAATATTATATTTATATTAACTCTTTTAAATTAATAAAATTAATTAAAAATAAGGAATTTAACATAATTAATATTAATTAATATTAATTTTTATTAAATTAATTATATTTAAATAAATATATTAAAGTTAATATAAATTAATAAATATTATAAAATTAAATTATTTATTAATATAAATTATTTAATAATAAATTATATTATATAAATCTTTAAATTTTTTAAATATTATATAAAACTTTTTAATTTTTATTTATAAAAAGTTATATTAATTTTAACTTTATTAAAAATATATTATTAATAAAAAATTAAAGTTTTATTAATAATATATAATATATATTAAAGTTAAATTAAATTTTTTATAAAGTTAAAATTATTTAAATAAAGTAATATATTTTATATATTTTTATATTTTTATTATAATTTTAATTATAATTAATATTATATTATAATAAATTTAATATGTTTTTTAAAAATATAAAAAGAAAAAATATAAATAAAAAAATATTAAAAATTTTATATATTAATTTTTAATATTTTAATATATTAATTATATTTTTATAAAAAATTTAATTTTAAATTTTAAATTTAAAATATATTTATTTTATATATAAAAAAAATATTTTTAAAATTATATTTCCTTTAATATATAATTAAAAAAAATTATAAAATTATATATAAATATTTTTTATATATATTATAAAATTAATTATATTATAACTTTAATTATAATATAATAAATTATATTAATTAAAATATTATAATTATTTTTTTATATAAATTATTTTTAAGCTTATAAATAATGTAAATTTATTTTTTTTATATTTATTTTAATAAATAACTTATAAAGATTATATATATTTTAAAGGCCTTAAATTATTTTGCTTGCTATTAATAATAAGGCTATGTTTATAATATAAAGACTATTAATCAGCCCTTAATTACAGTGGATATGAATCATCATTAGTGCTAGCATGACATGTAATTGGCACTTTGGCGGAGTGGTCAACGCGATAGCCGTAAGTTTCCCTCCAATTAATTGGGTTTCAGCAACTCCTAACAACGCAGCAGTGCTAAGCTATTTCCTTCGGGAGCCAGGGTTCGAATCCCTGAGGTGTCGCATGTCTTTTTGTTTTTTGTTAAAAATAATATCTCCTGTTGGTTGGGCTCCTTCGTGTGCACATGAGGCTACTGGTAAGGGTCGGTATGGTGTTGCATTTGAATATGGTGTAGAGGTAGGTTTCGCCCTAGCGGGCGAAGCCTGCACTTAAGTGCTATGGGCTGCCTGGGCTGCTAGTTGGCAATCAGCTAGCGACGGCCCGGTAGCGTTATCGATTGGCCAGTCTACCGCGGAACCTCCCAATCTGCGCAACGCACCCACGGCATTCCCACATCTCCCATGTTGCAATTGAATCTGTTGTCATGCAGTGAGGCTGGGTTAACCTGAAACCGCAGGCAGGCGGGCGGGCAGGTAGCGCACAGGCCACCTACAACTGGCAGCCCTTTAGCTGTTAAACCTCGGCAGTCACCGGAGGTGTGGGAGACAGCTGGGGTCTGAAAGACAATGTGTTGTACTGTGGTGGTAGGGATAAAATAGGGCATGCCAGCCAGGTTTTTATGGCGCAGACCCACCGGTGCTTTCTCGAGCAGAGTAGAATGGGTGGAAGCTATCTCTTTTAAGGGCACGCCCTTCAACGCCAGTCACAGGGGCCTTCACCCAATACCCATTCAATTGACCGTGTAGCACCCCACCTACACTGCCACAGGAGTCCTTTCCTCTGCCCTTTTTGTTTTCTTAGCCAGACCACGTCTTGTTCTGAATTCTACGAAATCGAGCAAGAATTGAGAGCTTCGCCTCTCGCATGCCCTTCTCGTGACACTCCGGATCCACGCATGGTGTCCCGAAATCAAGTCCTTGGAGAATAGAGTTATCCGCTGAATTTCACTCACAGTCACTAAACGACAGTTTTCACGGACGACGAAACCAGCTCCTTCAAGCAAGACAGCCCATGGCAACACTCATACCAAGCCTGCAACATGTCCTTCCGAGAAGCCGTTTGTCACGGTTGCGGCCGGGTAGGGACTACGAAACGCGACTGCGAGCAATGCAATAAGGATTCTGGCTGTAAATACTGCCACGGCAAGAACCATGAAATCAAGGACTGCCCAAGGATCGAACCGTGCCGATTGTGTAACACCAAGGGCCACAAACCAATCCACTGCCCTCAAGTTACCGGACGCCCTCGATCCTACGCCAGATCGCTGCCACGAAACCTACCTGCTCCTCAATCCTCGCACGCAGACTCGGCCAGTGCGTCAAGAGAGGCGACTATACAATCTCTTCCTCTAGGGACAGACTTCAGACAATTGGTTTCCGTGGCTATGGATCAAGAGCTCTATTCGCAAGATGACCAAGCACATATTCTCGGCGGAGCTCCGGACATGCTGACAATAGAGGAAACGCTAGACCTACCCATGAAAGACGAAGTTCCTTCTGTCAGTGATCCATCGCAGTTGGATCTCCCCGTGAAGAAGACACGGAACAGGGGACCCAATATCATACCGGTGGAACAGAAAGACCTGAATGGCAGCAACATCAGAATCAGTCCCCATGGAGAAGTTCAAATCAGGTACTATCCCTCTGAGAGCCCCGCCAAAGTTGAAAAGCTCACTTGGAAGAGTGGACCGTCATTGATTCCTGACGGGCCGGGGGATACTCGAACGATCCATTTCACCGCGGAAGGAATTGATATTCGGAATGCTGCGGGTGAAACAATTTATTTGCAGACACGGCGGCCCTCCAATTCAAAGGCCACATTTCCGAGATCAACCTTCAGGACATACACAATCGGCGAGAAGCTGTTCGCGCTCTGGGAACAGGTGACAAGGCAGCGCCAAAGCCTAAACACGCAGAGCACCTCAAAATAAGAGGGTGCGTGTGCCGCAGATTAACTTGTCAAGGTCGGCTACTTCTAACTCTTAAACTCTCAGCCAAGGCTAGTGGGCATATGCCTGTGGCGTTTGGGCCTTACATGGGGTCACTGTAGATTCCACAAGCCCTCTCGTCGATATGAGAAATTACCCAAGTGTGGCGGACTTAGGGGCAGGGACGTCAAGCGCGGTCCATGCAACAAACCTACTCTGCACTGCCACACTTGCGTACATAGAGTACTAAGAAAGCTGAGGAATAGGTGTATTGCATGGAGATTCAAATATTTGAGATAGGTAATCGCAATGTCCAGGACAGACCTCACGATCCCGTCTGGGGACATTGAGGCACCATTTGCCTCAGACATAGACGGTGATGTTCTTGAAGACCAAGAATTTGCCCCTGCTCTAAATTTTGATAATGTAGAGTTCTTAGAAGATCCTGAGTAATTGAACTTCTCAGTATGATGTACAATAGATTCGCCTTAATGACAGAACATTTTAATCTTAAGATAGTTCTCATATTTACTATAAAATAGCATAATGTAATAGTGAAGAATTGCTAATATTCACCTAGCTATTAAAGAGAAAAGGATAATAAAGCTGCAAACAGCCTTAAAGGCTTAAGCAGGGAGGGTAGTTTAGTTAAGCTATAAAATAAGCTACTAAAATAAATATACATAGTAAGTTCTATAGGTACTTAAATCCATGTCTAAAGTCTATAGTCTGTTATCATACAAACAAAAAGGGAAAACAAATCGTGCGACTGAAGAAAAAATTAGTTTGAGTATAAAAAGAATCCGACACCTCAGGGATTCGAACCCTGGCTCCCGAAGGAAATAGCTTAGCACTGTGTTTTTTGGTTAGTAACAGAAAGAGCAGTGCTTATTCGATGAGAAACTTACGGCTATCGCGTTAACCACTCCGCCAAAGTGCCTTTTTTAGATTTGTGCCCATTATACTGGTTTATAAACCTTTTGTCTGCAGTTTCACAGCAATCGTGAATCCCTACTCCCGAGGTACTTCGATCCAATTAAACTTCACATACAAAACCAAGTCCCAATAAGTAATCGTATTCCAAGAGGTTCATTTTGAGATTGAGCTTTGTTGAACCAACCCAGCTTGTGCCACGTCCCTGGAGTTTGGCCTGGTCCAGGATCCAGGCCGCCGGCAGCCTTAGCCGGTCGCCTGGATGCCTGAAGGCCAGCTGCGCAGCTTCGGTGGATGCAAACGGGGTAAGTTTAACCGAGACCTTCCGAACTCGGTAGAGTTCAGTCTAGACTCAACCCCTCCTCACTTTAGCACAGTCACATTCTAACCTCACGACCATTCCAGATTTAGAAGCAGCTCGACAGGAGGGGTGACTATAGAGGTAGGAATGTAGCTAGCTGGCGAATCAGCCTCGCCTTCTCCCAAAGCTCCACCCCCACCCCGCATTACGGGCGACCGGGCTTGTTCATGCGAGCCATTGCCGCGGAGGGAGAGAGGGAAAGGGAAGAACGGACGGACCACCATCTGTGCGTCTGGTGTCCGGCCCCCTTCGACCACACACTGGGGAGAAGGGCGCCCAGGCGAAAGAAAGGGTTGGAGAGAGACCTCACAAAGGTCCGCGCACCCCTTAAACCCCCTGCCGGGCATACGTAGCTAGCTCCTGCGGTCAAGTCTTTGCAACCCCCTTCGGTTCCTTCTGGAACAAGCTTGCAGAGGAAGAGGCGCCAAGGGAAAGTCTGAGGGTTCTTTGCGTGCTTTGGAAGCAGGTGCTCGAGGTGGTTCTACCATGGCATTGTCCCAGCTGGGCAGGGTGATTATGATCCCCCTTCTTCCCTCCATCCCTGCACATATAAGCGTCCACCCCGTTTTGGGTGTAAGCAGCTGCCGTTGCACTGTAGAGGTAGTGACCAAGCGTCGGCGGATTTCGGTGTGCTGTGTCTGCATTGGAGAACCTTTTGGTTTGCCCTTGCGTGGTGGGCTGGACGACTGTGGAAGACCCCAAAGACACCCATCCATCTCCTAGACGGCAGACCAAACATGTGATCACATATGTGATACGTATGTGTGAATGGACAGATGGGATCTGTCTGCAAGGCGTCGGCGCCCTACCACGAATACGTGACCGAGTGCCCCCCCCCCCAGCATGCGCAGCACCGACAAACCTATCAGGCTCACTCGCTGCCCCTTGCCTGTCCGCCAGAGAACATTTTTCCGTCCAGGTTGGAAGGAGGGAACAGACCCTTCCGAGCGCAAAACGGTGGAAGAATCGAAGCCGGGTGGGCCCCGGCTCGATCGGGCTCTCTGCATCAGGTATCTGGCGATCATCTCGGGGGGGGGGGGCAGACAGAGCACGGGAAAGAAAAAAGGTTTCAACTGTCCATCCATCCAAGGCAGATCGAAGGTTTCTCAGGCCGATCAAGCAAGCAAGTAAGCACGCTGGACCTCGGGCACACAGCACAAGGCACACGTGGGCCGGGTAGGAGGGAGCTGGCTTTCTGAAACTTGAAAGACAGACCCCGGCCTGCCGGCATTTGCGGCCCTCGCTGCCCAGATTGTGACAAGTGCTGGTTGGGCAGACGTGATTCGGCTTTGTCTATCAAGATTTCCGTCCGATGATGTAGCTCCAATGTGTGATTGTTTCCTGCCGGCGTGGTCTGGTGACTTGTTAAGATGTGCGTCCTTGGCCTTTACTTTGTTTGATATGTTTCCCCCGGATGCCGGGGTCCTGGTGGACGGGTTGGTTGCCCCTCCCCCCGATCCCATCTTGTCGAGGCAGAATCATCTCGACGGAGGACCTAGAAAATTAGACTACCTACCAAGGTGGTACGTACATGCCAAGGCAGGCCTGGTTCTTCCCAACCTGCGGTGCCGTCGATACACGGGGCCCAAGCTTTGAGAAGGCCGTGCAGGTCCCGAGAGCACACAGGCGGGAGTGGTGAAACGCCGGCCGGCGTCCGGAACCTGAAGCCCAACGACGGCTTCAGAAGGGGGCATTATCACAAGGCCATGAGCAATAGCAGCCTAGTGATAAGGCTGTCAACTTGTTGGCGTTGCTGGCTCTGTGACGCCCCCTGCAGATAAATGTGGTGAGTCAGCAGCAAAGGGGCGAGAGCCGTAACGGACCAAGACGACTTCTGGAACGAAACAAGTTTCCGCTGCCTCGTCCGTCTCGGGCGCCCCATAGGTTGGGCTGCGTCGACAGAGAGTATGGGGGCCTGGTCTTGCCAGTTGGGCAGAGATGGTCCAGGAGAACTATTCACTCCCACCGTTTAATATCCGAAGCACCGTTTGCCGTTTTCCGCATACCACCCCCGATATCGACCGCACATCCCGGCGCCGTCGTGGGGCCCAAGAGTCAGGGCACGCGCCGGCTCCGTGAACGACCTGGAGACATCGTCTCCACAAACACCGGAGGCCACACACGCAAGTATCCAGAATGATGACGACCGCCATATACACGTGTGTTTACAACGACCAAGGCAGGTAATGTATTAGAGTTTTCCTTCTGCGGGATTGGCCACTAAACCACAGACATGATCATCTCCAAATCTCCATCACCAGCGCGACCACGAGAGCCCTGCAGGGAACCTCAAGGTGCCATCGCCACGTCGCGCCGTGGGGCCAGGTACGATGCGCCCGATGGCACGACAGAGAAATGAGCACCCGAGACGGTTGTGTGGCCGTCGGGTAGGAAATCCTGGATCTTCTAGAAGCGTTCGACAACAATGAAATTCGGCCAGACTAGATTACCAGATCAATCAACCAAACAAGTCACCTGCGGTAGCAGCAGCTGCTACGTCCGCACCAACCCCCCGAGCCGAGCCTGCCATTCCGATCGACTGGGTAGCGGCCGGATTCCGTAAGCTCCCCATCTCGTCCTCGTCTCGGTGAAACGCCAAGGCCAAGCCGAGCTTCCGCATTCGGGCTGGTGCTCTGTCGGGCTGGCGGTTTTTTTTTTTTTGCAGACGGGGCGCCAGGTGACAGCAGCAAAGATTATTATGTGCAGCAGTAGATGGGTGGGCGGACCAGCAGGGTGACGAGTCTGGTAATGCGACGCCATCTAGGTACGATTGATTGAGGCTCCTTGGATCTAGAAATTAAAACCCCACTAATGAGACGGCGCGGTTGCTTGTGGCCTGGTGCAAGTGGCCAGCATCGTGGCCGGCATCTGGGCAAACCCCGTGACGGATATGCGCCATGGGGGACAGGAAAAACGTTCCCACCTCTTCAGATTGAGACATTGATCCGATGGAAGGGAGGAGACGCTGCAATGGCATCGGCCCCATCGTACTGCAGCGCAAAAATGCCGGCTGGCTGCGTCCAATGCGTTAATGTCAGGTTCAAGGGGCGGCATGACTGACCAGCAGCCTTCAGGCGGATGAATGCTGTGTAACCACCACCCCGGCCTTCGCAATGGGTATACATGCCCCCGCAGGTGCTGGCTGGCTGATACCATATCTTGTCCACCAGGCGTATCAAGCCAGGTGTCTGGCTGGGCGTTGACACCGCAACACAGTCAAGTGTCATGACCCAGTTCCATTACAAATTACAACGTACATGTAACTGCGCCCAGTCTCTGATCGCACATGTCAACTGTCAGAAGGACACGAAATATGTGTGGCCATCTTTGTGAGAACCACTGCGGGCCAACCCTGGATGAGAAGGGGTTCGACAGATGTTATCTGGGGCCCATGTGAAGGAGACCACACGCCTGCAAATGTTCGCGATGAAGCTTTGTCGCCCTCACGAGAAATGGCGGGTTTTGCTTTTGTAAAAGTGGTCTGAACCTCGCTCAAACCACAGACATGGGATCAACCCCTTGGTCAAGCATAGAGGATGCAGTTGGCCGACTGTAGGAGTGCAAGACTGTGTGCTACCATACTCCTCAGGATCGCCGATATGGGATCTCGAGCTCGTGACCCCAAGAGGCAACTACATGCAGGATCTCCTGAGCTAGAGTCTACATCGAGGTCTCCCTGGTCAACATATGTTGGTCCAATCCTTCCCGCTGATTAGATTGAGTGTGCGCATCTGGGGGGTCATCGCAATGCAATCCCCCCGTGGTCGTGCATCGCTAGCCCGCCCGCCATCATCTATCTCGTCCATGTGCCGCTGCGCTGGCATCTAGAACCTCTCCCCTTGCCGTCCTCGCTTCCGGGTCAACGGGAGAACGGCGTGGGCTACCTACCAACGGTGTGCACCAAAGAATGCTGCGAACGGCACGGGCGGACTAATTATTACCGCACGAGCTACCTGCACCACATGCCGCACGGGTGGCCGTCCACAAATAGAAGCAACCCAACCCGTCCAACAAGAACCCCCCCTCTCCCACCCCCACGTACGCCATTGACCCGGCCGACTGGGCTCTTGGCTCTGGACTCTTGCCCTTCTGGGTAACCATGCGGCGGCACCGAGTCCGCACAGACGTGCCCGGCTCTTATCCACCACGGACCCGGCCACCCGGGGGTGCCGGATGGGGAAGAAACAAAACACAGAGACTTTTTTTTTTTCTTCTTCCTCTCGCTCACCCTGGGACGCGAGACCGGACGGATACCCCACAAGCCTCGTAATACATGCAACCTCAAGCATGGCATCTTTCTTCATGACAGGTGCCGGCTACTACGCAGGACCCCAACAGTGGCCCTGTTTGCCTTGCCGACGATTACGACTCTGCTGTTGCGTGTTCGGCGCGCGGCGACTGATCTTGGCAGTACCCAGGACCACCCACATCCCGATATTTGGTCATCTATTCCTGCCCGTCATATCGATCACCAGCAGATGAGCTGAGAGTGGTGGCGGTTGGTCATACACATAGCAATAGTCAAGGGCGATGAATGAATGCATCGGTGTTTGTTCTCAACCCATCAATTACGCCCACTTGGCCATATCCACGACTCTGTCCATCCGACTCTGTCCCGAATGCCTCCGTAATGATGCTGCAGCTCCTGAAAGGGGTATAGTAGTAGTAGTAGTAGTAGTAGTAGTAGTACAGTACAATGCAGAGGCCCTCGCAGCATGGACGGAAATCACCCAGGCTCTCCCCCACGCGACGTAAGGTATTTTTCGTCTCCTCAAACTGTCAGGACCACATCTCCCCCGGCCCCTGGCGGACCGTGCCGCTTCCACACACGCCGCCGCCATATATAGACCCCTCCGTGAATCAGGGATATATGCAGAAGTAAGACCCCCTTTGCAGTGACCCCAAGTGAAAGATGCCATTCAAACCTCCCTTCCTAGCTTCTTGGGGCGGACTCCAGTCCCGCCGGACAATCTTGCCAGGTGTGCCGGCAAATGCTGCTATGCTAGTCGCAGATGTCTCGGAATTAGAAGAGTGCGGGCAGACCAGATATGAAAAAAAGAAATGAGAGAAATTGAAAGAGAGCATAAGATGCAAAACTCGATGGCCTTTCCACGCAGGGCCCAAAGCAGAAGAGTTATTTCAAAACCTCGGCCTTCCTCATACAAATTCAAACAGTGATTATTGGAGATGCCTGACTTGAGATGCGTGTGACGTGATAGCCGCAATGCCTCGCACACGCCCAAACACCAGGTTCGGACCGAGGCCTGCAAAGCCGATGACCCCTCTTGCTTCAGCTCGTGACCATTGAAGAGCCTCAGATGCAGAACTCTCCACGCGGGTTTTGGTAGTCGCCCCGGTTATCGCCCAAACCTCGCAAGCTGCCGCGTAGGTGGATGAGCGCGAGGGCAGTCCGGGTTGCTATGGACACCATTCTGGCTTGCTGCGTGTCTCCTGTCACGGAGGGGCTCGAACAAGCCAGGACGTGCGGCTGAGTCCAACCCGTCTCGAGGGAGCTTCGGCGATTGAAGCTGGGTATTGAAGATCTCAATCACGAAATTCCATTCAGCGCCACAGGTCGATTCTCGAAGAGCGCTTCTCGTTCGTCGCAGTGCTCGGCCGCGGCCAGTCATCGCCGCCGCCTACGCTCGGCGCGCTGCCTCTTCTTGGGCCTCCGCTGCCTTCTGGCAGGCCGGGAACAGCCAGGAAGCCACCGGTGCCGTTGCCCATGAAGACGGACCGGCGAGCCCCGGCCCGAGAGTTCCAGCCGCTATCGCTGTTGTCCAATCCATAGCTACTGGACGGACGTGCAGCGGCCTCGACATCTGCGCCCCTCTGTGTGGGGTCCACCTTGACCATTCCCCAGTTCAACTCATCGTCGCCTTTGGTGAAGACTTCGAGGGTCTGTGGGAGCCCACTGGGCCCGTTGGGGCCCGCCAGGGATGCAAAGGGGTTGTTGGAGCTGAATCGTGGGTTGTGGCCTGCGTTGGCGAAGGGCTTCTTGGGTGGCTCCTGGAAGGGGTTGTAGTTGCCGCCGCCATTCTGGAAGGGCCCTGGGAAGCCGGGAGAACCAAGACCATTGTGGGAGAAGGCAGAGGATGTGTGAGAGCTGCTGCTACCAGTCGCTTGTAAGGATCGGCCGCGTACCTGGGCAATGGAGGGGGCAGGCCGAGGAGCGTGTTCGGAAAGTTGGCGTTCCGAACGTAGAGCGCACGGAGGCTGGGCAGGCCGCCCATGAGGAGGGATCCGGAGAGATAGTTGTAGAAGGAGGGAAGAATGTTGGAGTATGGGCTGGCCGAAGGAGCACTTGTCACTTCGTAGTGGAAGATCTCGAGGGAGTTCGAGGCCAGGGGTGGGACCTGGGGCGTGCCGGCAGCCAAAGGCAGGGACGTCGAGGCTTCGTAGCTTATCGTGAGCCGCTTGAGCATGGGGGCTACCGCCAAGACGTCTTGTAGGTTCCAAGGTTTGACTCCCGTCTCGGCAAGGTTCAAGACCTTTAGAGCACGCGATGCGTCACCACGGGTCAGGTAATTCCTCAAGCCTTGTGATGTGACTCCAGGCACATTGTCCAGAATGAGCTCCTCCAAAGCCGGGAACGCCGGGAGCATCTCATTGTCGTGCGCGATCATCTCGTCGTTTACCACATTCGAGCCGGTGATTTTGAGGGCACGCAGGCCCCCTAGGACGCCGAGAGCGTGCAGGATAACGGTACCATCCATTTGTATGTTCTTCAGCTCCAGAACCTCCAGGTTGCGGAACACCTGACCACTGGCAACGCGCTCCAGACTCCTCTCGGACCCATGCATGTAGGTCATCTTCCTGAGATTGAGGCATCTTGCCTCTACCTCCATTCGTAATGTGATGTAGTGAGAATCGTCTTGATACAAGCCCTCGGGAAGGTCGACATATAGCAGGTTGGGCAGCACTGCTATCGTGCGCGCAATATCGGCCTGGCACGACTCCCTCAGCATGTAAGGCAGCTTGAAGTATTCCACGAGGGGACCCAGCCGCGCGGGGTCCTCGCGGAGTGTCCTGCACAGTAGCTTCAGTCGCTTCTGGGATGTGTCCTCAGGCTCGCCGTTGCGGTCCAGGAAGGTCCTGCGCTTGCGCTTGTCGGCCAGCAGGGCCTCGCGGTCGCAGTAGTGCACTGTCTCGATTCGGATGCTATGGTAACTGCGGCGCGAAAGAGACTTGGGTTAGCACATGTCGCCTCAAACAAGCCATTGGCGCCTCCTTCTCCACGCACGACCTGGGAAAAGGGAGGGCACAAGCGGTGGGCACGCGACATAATACGTACAGGACTTTGGCCGCCGTTTTGGACCACCTGCGGTTGACCATGACGCAATGCGATAGGTCACGCAGGTCACAGAGCATGCAGGCGTCCTCAAGGGAGCTCTGCTCCTGCGTCTCATAGGAGCAGTCCTGGGTATGGGGGCAGACGAAGGCGAAGATGCGCTCGAGGACGGGTGCGGGCAGCGCAGCGAGTTTGGCGGCTGAAGCTCGATTGGGCGAGTAAGGGCGAATTGGACCCGGGTGGAGGTAGTCATCCTCAGTGTAAAATCGAGGCTGTGCGGGCATGCTGCCCCCAAATTGCCTATACTTCTTGCCAAAGGCATCGGCGCCGGGGGCCTCGCTCTTGTTGCGCTGCTTGCGCCGCTTGAAGAATTTCATGAGCTTCATTGTAGCTGATGGGTCGCTTTGGTGTAGGAAGAGGAGGTAACAGGTATCAGAGAGAGAGAGACCCGGGACAGGATGGTTTGAAGGGAGGCGGGCAGGGAGGAATGGAAGGCGAGGGAGAGGGAGAGTGCGAGGTGTGGGAGAGCGGAAGCATAGACGGAGGGGAAGTGTAGTGGAGCAGAAATCAGACCCTATGTACAGGGACAGGAACGAGAGGGACAGGCCCGCATGGAGAGAGAGAGTGAGGTGAGGTGAATGACAAAGACACAGGCTAACTATGCCGGTAGCAATGCTGGGTGGAACTGCAGGCTGGCAGGAGGCAGAGCAGAGCCGTGATGGACTGGTCGGCCAGCAGTCCCAAGGTGCAGGACGCCGTTGTGGTGTTTCTTTCTTTAGCCGCACGTTATTTGGGCTGCATGTGCAGCTCACCAAAAGTCTGGCAGTTTGATAGGCTCACAAGTGGCAGCAGCGTAGTTGGAGCTGGGTGCCGCCAGAACAGCTCCGAGGTTGGAGAGACGACCCGCAGGGGACAGCAGGCGGCAGGGACCTGTCGGCTTCTGCTGGTGACGGGTGATTGGATGGTACCCAAGCAGTTGCACCTGTTGGCCCCCACAATTCCCATCAACCCTTGTTCCCTACCCGTTTCTGGTCTGGGGAACACAACTGGCAGGGCCTCCCTTCACCTCAGGCCTCAGGTGGGTGGTGGTGCGCAGGCAGGGGTTCAGGGGCACTGAACGCCTGCTGAGGGACCCAAGTCAGGTACGTACACGCTTGGATGACATTTGATTGCAGGCCTGGTGTTCTTCGGTATCTCGCCAACCTTATTACTGCAACATAAGCCCAACGATCATCAGCAGAGGAATGGGGTGGAATCCAAGTACGAGGGCATATGGGATTTGCATTGCTTCTGAACCGAACACTGAGACCAGGTGCTCTGCCTCATCACCCCCATTACATCACCTCGCACCGTAATTAATCAACAGCAATCGGCCTTCGCAAGACCCTGGACCCTCTGCCAGAGCGGACCCAGGCGGGGGTCTCTGGCCGTTCATTTCGCACAGATCGGTCGACTACCCGTAGATATTCCCACTTTGCCAGCCTGTCTGCCCCTCAGCTCGGAGATCGCACGCGCCTGGGCAGCCTGTGCTGCGAGCACAAGGGGATCCTCTGCTGTGCATGGCGGCGCCGCTTATTTCGAAACAAATCGCCGTTGCCACCCTGGCCAGGGCTGCACGCCAAATTTGGCACCGCGCAGAGCACATCAACGCTTGACAGATCCGACAGAGCTGCTCGCGGCAGCACAGGGGACAACGGGCTTTGCGTCCGCATCCGCTGTTGGGCGCACAAACTATCACCAACAGAGGGCGCTAGATCAGCCTCTTGCGATCCTGCCTTTCCCCTATCCAGCTGCCTAGGTGCTCAGGAGAGCGCAGGGATAGCGATCCGGGCTTGGATCTTGCTGCTCATCGCCAACACAAGACAGCCCGACCAGTTGGCCGAAAAGGGAGAAAAGAAGAAAGAAATCCCCGAAGGGGTCGACACGTCGTCCGGACTTCTGGATCTGTTGGTGGGTCAGCCGCAATCCAGCCTCCAATGGCTGACTAGGTATGTGCGCGCTCAAAGAGTGGTTGGGGACAAAGAGGTGGAGATAAATAGCATCACTTCTGATCGGTTCCAACGCTCAGCTCTTTGATGGGCACCACATGCCTGTCCATGTCAAATACCGGGCTGCAAGGTTCGTTCCGAGTAGGATGAGCCCAGCGGCAAGCAATCCTCAGCAAAGCTGACGCGCCGCGACGGATCGTTTCAGCAATCTTACAACATCCTTCGGGCTTAGAACGCTCTGTCTCTGCAACTGTTGGCGACGGGTGAGGCGCGGATGCCGGCATCCTGCGGCGCAGTGCAACACCCAGACATACCGGGCAGATCGACTCGCCTGCATTAAGCTTCATCAATCTCGCTTGTGGCTTCTGAAGGGCAGCACTGGGATGGCTGAGCAGCATGGTCTACGCGAGAGGGCAAGAGCCCAATCTAGGAGGCAGTGATAACGTCAAATCCGCGAGAACACCCTGGTATGCTTGGTCTCGGACCATATGAGGTTACTAATTATACAGACAGATAAGTCTCCCCGTTGTGCAATGCAATATGTCGTGCTTGTGCTGGCTGCCATCCGTCGCTTTCGCCTTTGAGTCCGGTATCAGTACAATCTTCCTTGACATGTCCACCTTTCTGGCTCATTGCCTGTGGTATAGGAGATGGCCCCAATCATAGATCGTTCACTCGGCTACTTCTAGTTTCCGTTAAGCTGGACGCCGTCCAAGGGGCTGCCAGGCCCTGTTCGCTTCGTCCTCAGTGTCAGAGGGAAGTGGTACTCATCAGGGTCTTCCTCCTCACTGCAGTTTGTGATTAGCCTCTGTGACGGGTTCGGCCCGAGGGGCGGGGTTCAAATAAACCTACGGCAACTTCCACGCTACATAGTCCTCAGTGCTGAGGCCTTCGTGGCCTTCTTGTATACTGGCAAAGTCGCCTGGTGTCATCATACCCGTGCGATCACGAGGAGACCCGGGCACGGAGAACGGCCTTGAAATCTTTTGTTCCACACCAGGGATGTAATCGTCGTCCTCGACGTCGCCCTCAAACGAACTGGGATACGCCCTCCGCAGGGCAAGCTGCCGAGCCTTTACGTACTCCATGCCCATTCTCTTCCAGTCGAGCAGGTCGCTCAGGCGCTCCGTGCGGTTTCGCTGGTTGATGCGCTGTCTCCGGCTCTTCAGGCAGAAGTCAAACATGGACGATGTAAGCTGGTTGACCGAGTCGTCCACGCCCTTGTTTCTGCGGTCGACAATGTAGATACCGTAATCGCTGGAGTTCTCGATGAGCTCTTCCATGTAACAGCCGAAACCAGATAAGTTGGTCGTAATACTGGGGACTCCCATGACTGTGCACTCGGCCGGAGTGTAGCCCCATGGCTCATAGTACGACGCAAAAACACCGAGATGCGTGCCTCTGACGAAATCGTCATAGTCGAGGGGTAAGACAGGGTTCGCTGAGTTCAAGAATTCTGGGTGGAAGATCACTTTGACGCGATCCGATGGGTGGTTGAAGAGCTGTACGCGACGGATCTGGTTGAGTACAGGGTCCTCGCTGTCATTGAGCATGTTGTGCGTCACAATTGGCGGCAGGCCGTGTCGCTTCATGGCGAACAAACGCCTCCGAAGAAGGACCCGGTCCTGCGCGGTGATCAGCTCCTTCTCGTCAGGCAGAGGATCGCCGTCGTGCCATTTGATCGATCGCTCAAAGACACGCCTCCCGATGCTCTTTTCGATGATGTCGACGGTGTCCCTGAGTGATTTTATCACAGCTTGGCCTTTCAGAGCTTCCACCGTCAGCGAGGTCGTCTGAGCGGGCATGATGATGAATGCAACGACCGTAATCTTGCTTCCGGCAGTCTTGAGCCGATGGTTCAGGCGCGCGAGGGACTCGATGAACATGTCCACGCCTTTGTTCCTGAACTCATAACGTCCTGCCGTGAAGAAGTAGAGTGTGTTCTCTGGGTCAAAGTCATAGTGGCCGTAGAAGTGCCCACGCACAAAATCGTGGATCTTCTCCTTTGACTGCTGGTGCAAGTTCTGGAACTCGTGCATGGCGGAGAACTTGGTGACATTGAGCCCGTTGGGCAAGACACCGTCCGGCTTCCGCTTCAAAAGGTGCTCACTCTCATAGGCCGTGATGTGGGAAACAGTCGTGAAGACGTCGCAGGCGTGAGCTGCAGCCCGCTCTATGCAGTATCTGTGGTAAATCCCGCGCTTTCCTGCCTCCGCGTCAACGTCAAACCATTGCAGGTTGTTGTAGAAGTCCACAGATCCAGCACACAGATATCTGCCTAGCAAGGTTGCGTGAGTGGTGAAGATGGTCGTCACATCGATGCGTCGTTTCTTCGTCAGCGGCAAGGCGACGCCCGCCAGCCATTCGTGGAAATGTGCGATGACGGCTTTGGTTTTCTCATGGCATACGTACTGCGTTCGTCAGCTTCGTACCGATCCCGTTGCTCTCCAGCGGGCACATACCTCTCCAAGGAACCAGGCGACGAGGTATCCAAAGACGATTGCTTCATTTGTCTCATCGTCACCGGGAGGTGAAGGAATGGACGCGAGATTCCACAGATCCGATTTCCACTCGTCCAGGTACCCATACGCGGTCTTGGTGTCAATCAGGATGACCCGCGGAGCTCCTTCAATCAGCCAGCGCCCGTAAAGTATACCGATACCGCGATCTCGCATGGACTGGATAGTAGCGGCCAATTCCGGGACAGTTGGCTCGAGTTCTTCAACTTCGACAGCAGCCTACTGAGGTCAGCGAAAAAGGAAAACCCCTAAAGGCAAAAAGTGCCGCAGCAGGACTGACCGATTGGTGGTTCAGCGGCCCGATGAGAGTGTAGCGTTCGCCATATTCTGCCGTCGTCACTGGCGCCTTAGACTTGATGACTGAGTAGATACCACCAACTGCGAAGCAGGTTAGTCAAGGCCCGGACAAGCAACATTGTTTACTTATCACACACCTCGATGGGCGACTTCAGTAGCTATCTCGAAGAGGATGTGGTTCTTCACCTCCCGAGGGGCGCGCTCTCCGCCTTCGCTCGACATTTTGAAAGGAGGGAAACGATCTGCGCGATTTGTAAGGAGTTACGGTGCCTGGTTCTCTCCAGAGTTAGCTCAGAGGTTTGGCAGTCGCCGAGATGGCCTGATCTGGGCGGGGCCGCAAGAGATGTAGCTCAGACGAAGCAAAGCGTCGCGGTGACGAGATGTGAGCTTCGGAGAGTAGAAATACCACTTACAAGATGATGAATGCAAGGCAAGACACCCAACGAAGAGTCCGTCGCCGCACTGAAAATCTGTTGACGTTACAGTCGGTATGGGGAGCTAATATACGGCGCCAAACAGCAACAGCAAACAATTGTTGCGTGCTGGAGCCCAATTGAGCCACGGAAGAATAGCCAGCTGCGGAGGGGGTTGTTTGGGCGGAAGAGGCCGTTGATCTTGTGACCGGTGCTCGAGGCCTTTTTGGTGTCGGAAGAGAGGAGGCGGGTGTAGCAGGATGGGCTGGGAAAAGCAGGTGAGGTGAGCTCCAGGTAATATGCTCGGCGTGATGCTCGCAGCGACTTTGTGTGGTTGGGCAATCCAGGATTGGACTGTGACGCTACAGCACAGCAATAGCAGGGGCATTATGCCGCTCTGGGCTAGAGGGACAGGGAAGTGCTACCCCAAACAGCTCTCATCCCCAGCTTCTTGTGGCCTCTCCGACTGGGGGGGGGGAGAGGGGGAGAGCTCGAGCCAACCTGGGAATGCTACAGGGGCCCAGGGGCCAAGGTGTCGGGCGCTCCACCAAGGGCCTAGCAGCATGCCTGCCTGCCTGCCTGCCTGCCTGCCTGCCTGCCTGTGCAGCAAGCTCGCTCATCGGATTCTCAGCGGGCGAGCGCAGGATCTTGCAAAGCCCCCCCAGCCGTGCGGTGAAAATAGAACTCTTCCTACAGATCCTAGATGAGACACACACCAACTTCCCAAGACAACCAACCGCACAGTCCCTGCGACAGACAGTTGAATGTGCAGGTGTAGTGCAGGTGCCTGGACAGCAAGACCGGCCGTCCTGCCGTCGTGCTACCCCAATCTGATCCGCGTCACGAGACGGGCGGCGTCGTTCTGCATCATGAGACTTGTTGAGGAGAGGCAGACCAGCAGCAAGTGTGGATCTGGAATCGGACGGAGCTTGGCAGGTTGACGCAGCTAAACTCGGCGCTAGTGCAGACATTTTCTTCACTGTGGCCCCGGAAGCGCCCATAATTATTTGGCACAGAATTGCCATGCTGCGATCCATTGCAGAGTCGAGATGATGGGCGTTTTGACTGCTCTTCCAGTTCCTGTTGGTCCTCTCACCCAGCCGCCCAGCCCTTCAGGACGCCCCCTAGGACCCCAGCAGGCATGGTCTTCTGCACACATGTGAAGCACCTGTCAAGACGAAATATGGGTAATTATATCATTCTCGTCATACGTGGGTGGTGCCACGGTCGTCTCGTCCCGCGTCAAGCTTGCCCATCCTGCCCATCCTGCCCTTCAGCCTCGGTTGACGTGGAGCACGGCCCTGGGGAAAAGGCCCACCTCCACATCCTTAGTCAGTTCTTATGACGTCTCCCGGCGTTGGCGCGCGCGGGGCAGAGAGAAAGAAATCTGGGGCCGTTAATTCAGTTCAATTCAATTCAATTCAGTCTACTTCCGTTAGACGTAATGTGCCTGTATTTGTCCACCGCAGTCCCCTATGGGGTTATTGTGATTTTGCCAACTTGTGTCCTCTGGAAATCCGCTCGAGACTACGCCCTTCTTCGAGTGCAATGTGCAAGGTGATTCGAATCTACATCACATTGTCCTCTCGCTTACCGCTCTTTGCCTGCCATTGTAATTTTGATCCGACACATGCTATGTGTAGCACGCTCTGTCTCTACGGGGTTGACCCGGTCGGACGCTGTGACCGGGAATTGCAATCCACCCCCGCTGGTGGGGCAGTATGGCCCATGAACAAGAATAGTACCACTGAGGAAGGCTTCCCAATTTCGTGTGCCCGTTGCAAGATAGGCTTTGATGGCAGACGGCACGCCTGGTATTCAAATGAACTCAAGCTTGTGTAGATAGATAAGACTACAATAGCAGGCTCTTTGATCCACACACAATGCCTCTTTGTTGAGAGTGAGTGGTAGTCGAATAATGTCTTGTCTTCTTGTCGGTCTTGTTCCAGCTCTGAAAGAACATGCCCCTACAAAGTGCATACGACGGCCCCAACCTTGACAATGCCATCGTTTCGCTCAATGTCAACTCACCTTCAAAATACGCTCCCAGTCACTGGATAACTCTCGCAGTCTGTAGACAGCTTCAACATGGCGAAGAACAAGAGACACTCTAAAAAGCAAGATTCAACAAAGCCCACAGGGAAACCACCTAAATGTGAAACCTGTGGCAAGTTACATAACGGTAGGTCCTGTCCCTTCTATCCCAGCTATTTGTATACCAGCAGATTCACTATCCAAGGTGCAGGTGAGTGCTGGAATAAGAGCCCACCGACAAGGCCCAAAAGCAAGTGTTCATATTGTGGCAAGAATGGGCACGAAGAAAGCGTATGCTACAAGAAAAACACCATGCCGGTTAACAATTGCTCTCATTGTGGTAAGAAGGGACATGAAGAGAGCGTGTGCTATAGGAAAACCCTCAACCAAAGGCCGAGCACCCCTCCCTCGAAGTCCATTACAAAGAAGGCCCAGTGGTCCCCGTATGATGGTCGTTGGGCGAGTGCAATGAACTGCCAGCGGGAACAAGACCGCAGCGCAGTCTCATTCCCCTTAACCCTATCCTATAAATTTGCAGCCTAAATTCCTATTTTAAGTGACTTAAGGGATTGATTAAGGAGGGGTTAAAGAGGTGTCTTAGGAGTAAATATTAAGTATTTAAATGCTTAAAGAATTATTTTTTATAAGTCTTAAGTATAAATAAATAAAATAGTTTTATAAAGACGGAAACCTTTTAATTTAAGTTATATTTAATATTATTTATAAAAGATTTTATAGAAATAAATTAATTATTAGCAAAGGAATAAAGTTTTAAAGTATAAATATAAAAGGCTAACTATATAAAGTAAGTAATAAATAAAAGTATTTAAAAATCATTAAAACCCTTTAATAAAATATAAGTAATTTTAATTTTTATTAATATAAAGGTTTTTTAAGTAAATATAATATAAAAATAATTTTATTGCCAAGAGTAATTAAAGGGCACCTTAAGCATTATTTATAACAAATTATTTATATAGCAGGATAACTTAAAGAAATATATTTAAATATAATATTAGCCTTAATAAGTATTATTAGCAAAATTAAAGGCATTAGCCTTATAAGGGCTACTTTAGCTTTTTCACAGCTAGCCTATAAACTTAACGCATATTAATAACTTTATATTGTTAAGATTGCTTTTAAATAGCTAAGAAAGCTTATTAATAATTTACATTAATGAAAATATTTATAATTATAACATAAAGCGCTTATAAAATTTATATATTATATATATAGCTTTAGCGTAAATAAATATAGTAATTATGTTTATAACTTTTATAAAATAATATAATGCTATATTATATTTATATATTTTATTAAAAAAAGTAAAAAGCATAAGCTTAGCAAGCCTTATAAATAAGTATAACCTTAATAGCAAGGTAAAAAAATAATGGCTTAACGGTTATTATATTTATTAAATTGCTATGCCTTAATATAAAATTAAAAGGTTAAGAAAGTAATTATTATATTAAATGCATTATAAAGTAATAAAGGTAAGCTAAAACTTATTAAGGAATTTACCTTTTAATATTAATTAATTAAGAGGCAATATAGTTAACAAAGATTATTAATAAGCTTTCGCTTAAAATATATTTATATATTAATAATGCTTATGTAATATATAAATACTTGGATTATATTATACTTTTATTACGGGTAATAGCATAATTTAAGGCCGATATATAGCTATAAATTAATATTTAGCTTAATTGCTTTATTAAATATAAATTATTTAAAACAAATAATAGCTTTTACTTATATATATAAGCTTATGCTTTATAACGTACTTAATAATAATTAATTAATATATAACAAGCTATAACTCCTTATATATTAACTTATATTACTTTATATATAAAAGCGCTTAAGTAAACCTTAATTAAATTAAATATTATAATAATATAAAGATGCTTTAAAGAGGTAATTAAAAATATAAAATCTTAACTTATTGCAAGGCTGATAATCCACCTTACCTTATGCAGCATTTTACGCTTTTAACTTATAAGCAACTTATTATTTAGTTTTAGGTTTTTAAAATAGCATTATTATTTAACGCATTGCTTAAGAATATTTAACGGCCTTAATAATATACATTTTTAATATTTAAGATTAAATTACCCTTAAAGTTCCTTTATAATAATAAACATAATATAATAAAATTGCGCATATAAAACTTTGCTATTTTATAAAAAGCTAAAAGATTAAATACTAGCATTAAAAAACCAAGGTTTTTATACGCATTTTGCTTTAACATTAAGTTATTTAACTTTATAATTAGCTATTAAAGATATTTGCTTTATAAATATATTAATAATAAGCAATAAATTCTTAATAAGATACGTTGCATAGCTAAAGCGTGGGAGGGTTATTATAGCCAGCTTTTTATATAAAAAGTTATAAAGCTAATAAGAAAGAAGTTGCGGCAAATAATTAAGCCGGGATTTAAATGAGATATAATTTTATTATAAAACCTTAAATAGGGATAAGGGCGTTAAGGTAAAATTATAAATAAATATAATATTTAAAAAGTATTAAAATAAATAAGATTTATAGGAAAAGAATAATTTTTAATATTAATTTTATTATAAAATAAATATGAAAAAAAATTAATCTTAAGCAATTATTTATTCCACCCTTAAAAAGATAAAACCTTGTTATTAATTATTAATCTTTTTTTTAATTTTTTTCCATTCCCTTCCTTTTAATTTTTTATTAATATAATTATAATGATTGCGCCATTAATTAATAAAGTAATAATAAAAAGCTAAAAAGAAT